TAACTACTGATGTAAGATATTCTTAAATCAAGCTGCTCTTTAAATATTGCAACACTTCTTTTCATGTATCGGCAAGCATCACTGGCTTCAAGTGACATGAGCTGGTGATAACCTTTCTAATAATTCCCACAAAATCATTTAATTATTTATTATTTAAAAAGGCAAGACTACCTGTTGGGTTTTTTTTCAAAGCTAGAATGCTTTCAAAAGTAATGGAGACAAAATATATTTGAGCCAGTCCTAGTAACGAGCTTTTGTGGAAATGCTTATAAAACCTTCATACTGCTGGTGAGTAGCAAACATTCTGCTTCGTGCCTAACAGCTGCGCTCTGTCAGGCCAAGGATCTAGTGCTTTGTCTCTGACATGAAAAAAAACAACACAAAAATGGGTACAAGAACAAGGCAATGTGATACTTTGGTATATTCTTAAAGTTATTGGCGACCTTTGGTTTTGGGAACTTCTTGAGCCAGGAGTTGCATCTGGAATGTAACTGAATAGTCCTTTTTTGGACCTTTCTTCCATCAGTTTGTCTTGATTGCTTTTTGAGTCCATTTTATACTTTTGTCCAACACCCTATGTAAATGAGTTTGTCTCACTGGGAGAAAGTGAAGGAAAGGAAGGAAAAACCCTTCTATACTACTGGTACTTGTGTAGCAAGGGGTGGGGAAAGAATAGTTGTCGTCTTCTCCCTTTCTCCAAGTGGTTTCTAATTCTGTAGATTTCTGATATATCATACTTAGTCATCTCTTTTCGAAGCTCTGGGTTTCTAGATCTATTTAGTGTTTTCTTCTGTGTAAGATATGATACTTCATGTCATATGTCACACTCTTGTTACACCTTTTCTTGTTCTACCCTATCTCCTGCATGCACAGGTTTTGTGCATGCCAGGGATTTATACAGTGACTTGAATATGTTAAAATTATTAGGAAAGGAATGGAACAGAGAAATTCCTATTTTTCCTCCCTAACTGGTGCTTCTAGCATGCTGCTGTTTTGCCATTTCCTAATACCTGACACTATGCTTATCTGTGAATTTTAATTCTTTCCATCTGTGCTTATTCTGGGTCCCGCTTCGATTGCAGCACAAAAGCTTTAGATCAGTTAAACTGTTCAGAAGTTTATTTCATATCAAAAGTTGTTGCCACATTTTTTTTCCATATTCCAAATTTGAAAACAGAATGGTAATTGACAGTATTCAATCTTCTGAATGAAAGAGTGAACTGACATTTTCTATAGTAGTAGAAAATCAGAAAGACTGTCATAGCAGTGTAGGGAAGGTTTACTGTGAAATGAGCACTGCAATGAAAATAGTCTGGTGTTACCTTTCTTAGAGCTTGGGAGGGAGTGTTGTATGTGTAATAAGACTTGTTTGGTGTTTCTTGTTTGTACCAATGGTGTCTGAGTCCAAATTCAGTTTTGATAAATATACTTTATTATTAAACATGTTAAACTATTCTGTTCATTCTATAATAAATGGAAATTCTAGGAATTTTAATTGAATTTAATCTTCTAAATGAAATCTTTACCTCTGGGCATCAATAGTACATATAAACTTTTAAGCCGTTTTAACTACAGATAAAAGTGATGCTCTGGCCATCTCCCATGATGGTCTTTTTGGAGAAAAGAGGTATGGAAAGTGTTTTGGATGTGTTTGCAGAAAGAGGAACCCTTTCCTACGGTTCCTACTTCTGCAGATTAATGGGGCAAGGATTATCAAATGCTCATTGTGGCTGCAAAAGATAGTGTTACCAGTAACTCTCAAATGCGAGAATAGCAATACATGGGATCTAAATTTGGCGATTTCTCTGTTTCTCCTCATCTTTCTGACATCTGCTTGTAACATTTATAGAACTGTTCTGTGGAGATGGAGAAGTTTTCAGTTTAGGTTCACTTTACTGGGGATCTTGCTGAGTCACAAATACTTTTAACCACTAAGAGCTAGCTGGGGGGAAGAAACATTGGATATTTTGCTCCTTATGTAAAGCTCTTACTCCTGATGTGTTTTAGGTGTATATCTCAAAGCTGGTGTGTTCTAAAAATTCTGATTTTGAGAGGTGCTGTTCCTGTGGGTGTGCGTAGGACAGCATTCCTGCAAACCCATTTCCTATTTTTTATGTTCTTCGTTCAGTGTTTAAAATTGACCTTCTATGTGTGTCTCTGTATGTCTGGTTTTGTCAGTGCTTATGCTGATGTCTCTACATCTGAATCTGCCACTTTGTCCCAGATCGGGCTGTTTGTATATGATCGGGCAACCATTTCTCTCTCAAACAGTCAGAGGAAGGTGCTGACGCTGCGTGCTCCCCATGGGTGACCTTACAGTAGTTAATGCACTCGCACAGCGTCTGTAAGGTCTAAGTTTAGTCCTCTCCCTTGCCCCCGGGGAGATTCAAACCTGCATTTCCAAGGAGCAGCAGCCAGCAGATAAGTGACTATTCTGGGACTGGAGCAGCCTCTATGTCCTTGATTGAAACCCTCTTCTGTGGTTTTCTCCAAACAAATGGTGAAACTTTTCTTAACAACAGTCTCTCGAGATCCTCGGTATCTCCAGTGGGAGCAGGAAAAGGCAAAGCGACAGTGTAGGGAAATGGACCGAGCCTGAGGTCCCAGCGGTGCTTTATCCGAACAGGGATCATGCGATTTTGCCGTTGTTCCTTTGAGACTCTCTGAAGGGACTACAGTAGCTGTGAGATGGGTAAGGGTTAAATCAGTCTGAAAGCTGTAAGATAGAAAAGCCGGAGCTGAGGGCCCGGGAAGATGGTTGCGGAGAGCTGGAGCCGAAGCAGGTGAAAGGTCAGAGCTGGCCTGTGTGGGCTGTGGGGAGACTGCGATCGTGGCCGACACACAGTGCTGATTAACTGTTTCTGTTCATAAACACTTCTCACTGAACAGTAACAAACATGGCATTAAATACCTAGAAAAAGCGGTGTCCCGCCAGTCTCGGTTACCACGCTTTGGAAAAAATTAACCTTGAAGTTCTCTTCTGGGGGTAGGGGAGAGCTGATACTCTCTTTGAATTGCACCCGGGAGGGCGTTTTCTGCAAGTGATGGGTTTGCAAAAGTGTCTAAGGTCGTGAGATGTTGTGCAGGCAAATGCAGTTCAGAGACAGAACCTAATAAGTGGGGTTTTTTAATGCTTACATTTGTTAACATTGTTCAAATAATGCAGATCTAAAGACTTTTATTAATAAAGGGATAAACTCTGTAACTAGGAATTAGAGTCAGCTTTTGGTCTGTATGACAGTTACTAAATAGTTATGTCTGGAATTTCAAGCAGCAGTTTGAAAACATATTCAATTTTAGTCTTTTCACGTGTTGTGGAGATATATTGTCTACTTTTTATAAAGAAAGTAACAATCACTAGAGAATTGTAAATATTTACATTTTTGGGAAACTGCACTACAGGAACACTGTTGCATAGTGACAACTGCAATGCTTCACTTTCAGTTCCCATTCTGTGACACTCGCACTAAGTTGCTTGCCACTTCCCTCTCCAATCTTAATTTCCATTGGGAAAATTACTGTTCTTGTTCTGTGGTGCTGTTAAAGGACTGGAGAGGTGAAAGGTTCAAGTGTTAAGAAAACATACGTGCAGTCCTGATAGCTTAAAGTCTGCAAAAAAAAAAAAATCAGTCCAATAATGTGGAGGTTCATGTGAATAGTTGTGGAAATAGAACTTCAGTTTTGTTTTTTTAATTTCATTTATTTTCATAAAGTGTAAAACTGAAAGATCAGCACAATGAGAAAAGTAGTTTAATATAACCCACAGATTTTACTTATGAATTAGATGGTACTTGAGATGCTAAGCCACCATTAACAGATCTATCCATTACTAAAATGGTGCTTACTATTGAGAAATAACTACTGGCCATCTGAAGCTATTTAGTATAGGTGTAGTTAGTTAGATTCAAGACTGAAGTTTCAAAGTTACTTAAGCTCATGTGTTTGGCTTGTTGCCATGAATATCAAATTAAGTTTCCATAAAAACTGCAAAATGTCAAATTAAGCAGTCTCAATAATCCTTAGTTAAATTTGAGAACTAGATCACTTTCCTTCCAGGTTTTTTTTCCAGAATTAGGGTACCAAAACCTACCTGTCATGACTTCTTAGCAAATGTGTGGCAAGTTCAAAAAGTAAGCTGATGCTGATGGAAAATTGCTTCACTGAGCCTAGTAGCTTGAAATCTATGCAATGTCTTCAGTCCTCTTGCTGCTGGGCTTTCCTACTGGAGGTAACCATTTGTATGAAAGTGTCTCAATGGAGGATGCTCATTTACAACAAATTTTCAAGAAATCTGTAAAGTTGGATAGCTGTGTTGTATAGCATCCAAGTGGATTGTGTCAAAATCATGCTTTACAGCAATATGCTTTTTTGGATCTTGCTAGTTTGGTATCACTGGTTTGTTTTTTTTTTTTTTACCTAAATGTTTAACTAGTTGGTGGATGCATACAGCACTGGAAGTTACTAAGTTTCCTCAATTTTGGATGCCCAATAGTCTATGCTTCACCAGAATATAGAGTATGTTCTTTCAACAATATTTTTTAATGCTCTTCTGCTCTCCTAATGCTTGAGAAAGCTAGTATGTCCTTTCTGGTATCTAAAAGCCAAATGAGCAAAGAGAAAGATGGAAGAATACAGTTTCAGGCATGGTTTTACTTTTAAAACGACAGCTATGAGGATCATACATTAGTTCCCAGACACTTTTCTTACACATTTGATGTTTACTTCTATTGTCTGTTGGTATATTGCTTGTTGCAAGTAGCTGTTGCTGCTAGTATTTTTTTCCACCTGCAAAAATACATTGTGGCTAAGTTGCTTACACAAGCAAGCTCCTTCTATCTTATTTCTGTTGGAGATGTTGCAATAAATGATGTTTATGACTCTCCCAAGTTCAGTCTCACCAGAATAGTGTCAAAAAACCCCAAAGCTTCAAGTACCTCTGAGTTCTTGTTCTTTTACACTTAAATCTTTTTATCACTGACTTTCTTATCTGAATCATTCTTTAGGGCTGCAGGGTTCTGGTTGATGCACGGGACAAACTGGGGATCCCTTGGCAGTACACCGAGAATGAGAAGCACGGAATGTTTTTGATGGCTTTTGAAAACAAAGCTGGAATGCCCATAGAGCCTGCCACCTTCCAGCTGTATGTACCTGCACTGGGCGCGCTGTGGAGGGATTCAGGAATCAAGGAAGCCTTCAGCCGTCGGAGCGAGTACCAGCTGGTGAGTACGTCCATCTTCATGGTGGGAGGAAAAAAGTTCCCTGCTGTATAAATCTCTCTTCAGTTGAAAGATTGCTCGCTACGTGCATTATCTAGCCATTGTATGAGCCATTTGTAGTAATGCTGTAAATCTGAGCACTTCAGCAGAAACAAGTGGTAATTGGAGCCAAACTTGAAAAACTACATGGCAGTAAGAGGGAGTGGAAAAGTGCACATGACTGGATAAACTGGAAGAGCAAGAGGAACCAAAAAAGGCAGGAATTGGTTGAACTAAAAATATTTTAGCAGCTCAGTAGGTCTGTTCATAGTAGGTCACTGATGAAGGCACACTTAATTTGTAACTTTCCAGTCCTGCCAGCTTGCACTATATTGATACTGGCAAACTATTCCTGCATGCAGATCTTTTGAAGTGAATGGAACACCCATTCCGGCTGCTGCTATTTGACTGTTTCTTTTCATCCTGACGTCTCCAAGTGAAACTTGGATAAGCAACTGAAAGATGACAACGAGCATAAAAATGTGCTATCTTCCTTGCTTTCTTGTTATTAGGTTTTCATGCTCTTGTGCCAAAATAGCTGCACTTCTGGTATGGAATATGTTTCTGACAGCTGTTCATAATCCACTCCTTTTTCTTCCCATGTACAAGATGGAGATGCTTTTTTTTTCCTCCTTCCTTTCTTCCTTGTTCAATGAAACAAAGTAGTGATCCATGCAACCTAGTACCACGTTTATTAGTTCTCAGAAAATTATATAGGATAATTTCCTAATTGTTTTAATAAATGTATCTTTATGATTTTAACAGTAATTATGCTTCATTATGCAGGTAGAATTCTTTAGTTTGGGTGTTCTGTCCCCAAGCTGCATTCAGCTTTTCTTTTAAAAAAAAAAAAAAAAAGGAAAAAAAAAAAAAGGGGAGACAGTTAAAGGTGGAATTCTTCATGCCTGGATATGTTATCAATGTTTAATTAGAGGAGTTAGGTTAGGTAAAGGATAGAAACATGGCTTTGTATAGTCTCCCTTAGACTTTTACAAAGGAACTCAGCATAGCTAAAGGGAAACCAGAGAAATTCAGTAGTGAAATTCTTGTTGTTTGTTTCCTCATGCTACTTTTCTGCGTGGGTTCTCTAGTATCTAATACTGTAGTTAAACTCATGTTGCAGCTCTTGGGTACTTATCTATCTCCACTAATAAGATGCCTATTTGGGTCTCGTTGCATATCTTTGAAATCCGTCTCTGAAGTATCTTGGGACTGCTAAATGGCTAAAGAATAAATAAAACGGGTAGGTAAAACTGTCACAGGATGATTGTATAAATCTCATTTCCTTAGGCTAAAAAAATGTAACAATTTCCATGTTACAGTACTGGGTATGGGGTAGAAGATGTGCAGGGGGGGAGAGAAGATAAATTGTTCCATAATTCCTAGCGTCTGTAGACACAGACTAAGATTTTGCTGTTCTAAGCACTGTTCAAACATGGAATAAAAAGATGGTTCATGCCACAGGGAACTTGAATTTAACATGAGACAACTACTAAGAGAATCTAGTATAGTAAGCAATAGTTCTATCGGCAGCCTGTTTGTTTTGTTTTTTTTTTCTGGGAACTGCTATGATCAAGCATGGGTTTTGTTTTTAGAGGGAGATTCAGATTGGGATCATGTGGGAGGTTCGTTCCTGTACTGGTTAGCAATAAAATTGCATCAAACTGGAAAAAAGAAGTCCAGTTTATTGAATAAATAGCATTCCAAGACTAGTAGGCCTACCTCTGCATTCTCTGGCTTTGAGGATTAAACAGGAAATACCAAAAAATAAAAAAGCCTCAGAAAAACCAAGCATACAGGCATGCAAGTGATCATTTAATATGCTGTCATCTACAACATCATGGTGTAGTTCTATCATGCATCTTTTTGGGTGGCATTCATGTAACCTATTTAATGTTACTGGGACAGCTGGAACTGCTGCAGGCACCAGAACTGTTAACTTGTCAATAGTGCAATGATATGGTGTATTACAGAAGTACTGTGTAACTCAGTCCTGCTGCATGCATCTGTGGCACTAACAACTTGAAAATCCTGGGTGCTATTATTTTACTGTGCAGGCTGCATCACCAGGAGATTATAAAGTACCTCAATTGTAAATAAAAAGCACTTGGTGCATAAAAGTTTTTTAAATTTAATAGATTGTTCTCAAGGATACAAATGCTACTTCTGGATTGATCACTAAACAAATTATTAACACCTTAATAACATGAACAAGTTTCCATGCCTTCTAGGTTCAGCAGAAGTCTGATTCCCTGAGTACATGGGGATTAGCAGCAGTACAATTCCTTTAAAAAAAAAAAAAAGTTTAAAACTGCATAGCTTTTTAAAGAAAGCAGGTGGTTTAAGGAGATGCCGCACTTATAATTGCATATGATGTGTATAAACCCATACCTTCATTTAGTTTAAACTCTTGCTGGATATAGACTCATGTAAATAAATAGAAGCTAGATATAGTGGACTCTGAGAAAATAAATCTTTTCTGAACTGATTTTAAATAAGGCTAAAGAAAACTCCTGCATCAGCATTCCCTTTCTTACTTAGTATAAGTGAGCCATTAAATGGAATATGCTTGGTTTGAACTGAATTTATTATCTTTATTATAGTTTTTAAATCATCACCAAAATTTTGAAGCTTTAAATTACTATGATCTTTCTGAATGCTTCTTGACAATGTTTGAAATAATAATCTTGCTCAGCAGTTGCATTTTTTTCACCCTGGTCTTACAGTCAACTGAACACCAGCTCATTTTTTTATTGTTGTTATTATTTTGGCTTCTAAGCAATAGGATTATATTGGTCTGCTTTTGAACTCTATTTCTCCAGGAAGTTGTGTGACTTTGTTTAAAAATAAAAAATAAAATATGTTGGTTGGTTAACTAGAGCTGAAAATTGCAGTGTACAGGTGCCTTCCTATGGTCTATAATGCTAAGCTTAATGACTGACTCAGTTGTAGCAAACTTGTTGAAAGAAAATGGCTCTGACCATAACCCTATACAATCTGAAGGCTTCTTTTCTGGGACCACAGAAGCTGCCTCTGGGCATTTGAGTGTTTTCTGCTGCATATTCAGTGCCTAGAAGTGGTGGCTGTAAATCCCTGTCTGGGTCTTTGAGCATTTCGTAAGTGAGTGGGTGGATTCTACAATAGCAGAGTGCTTTTTTTTCTTCACCGTCTTTCTTAAAGCAGACTAACCCATTTCACTTTCTTTTCGCAAACATCAGCCTCTCACTCTTCCCCTGCCCCAGCCTGTCCCCACCAACCTAAGTTCCTCTGTTCCTTGTATGCAGGCCAAGTAGTCTGGGGACAAAAGCTTCATTGTATGTTTGGTTACATTGTCATGTCTCTGTCCTCGTTTTTTAACTACTAGAATAGGAATTCTTTTGTAATCAGTATGTGATTCTTCTCTCTTCTCCCTCGCCCTCATTATCCTACCCCCTTTTCTGTCTGTTAGAAAGGAATACATTTGTCGTGTGTCTCAATGTCCTGTAACATTTGTTCTTTTGAGGTTGCCTGTGGTAGTTTGGGCAACTGGATGTTAGTTCTTCATTGCCAGCAGGTGGAGACAAATTCAAGTTTGAATGGCTTCTCGGAGATAGGACCTTGGGATTCCAGTTATGATTTAGCTGAAAAGATGAAAGCTTCTTCAGTTTGAGCCGAATAACAAGTGTTTGGGTATATTTGGGAGTTCAGGTGCATGTAGCTGCAAGTTTTTCTGCACCCATAAATGATGTTTCCTTTTATGTCATAAACCATGGAGACTGAGGCCAAGATAGGAATTGCTTTGGTCAGGTGGTTTCTGTTTTGCTGGTTTTTGGGTTTTTTTCTTTCTTCCTCCCAGGTCTCTAGTGGAGAATGTGAGAAGCCATTCACTTTTGTTTTAATGTGTCCAGAACAAACAAAATCTGAAGCTAGGTTAGGTACTTTTTTGACGTCTTGCATCTTAGCATGCTTCCTGTCATTGTGGGTAAAGATGGGATGAATAGGGCTTGTCAGGCAAGAAGATGATACTTTTGTCACGGTCAGAACAGATATATATTGTACGCTAGCACTGTTACAGAGCTTAAGTTAACAGTGAGCAGATCTGCAAAGGCCAACATCTGGCTTTATCAATTCTTAAAGCAAAATTGACATTGTTTTATCAGGTTTTTTAAACATGCACAATGTTTTTTGGTTTTGTTTTTAAATCTCTGACCTAACTACTCTTAGTCAAAGTAATTTCTTTATTTGAATGATTCTTACTGTTTCCCTTCAAAATACCAAGTCTTTCTAGCTTGTAACCATACATTTCAAGAGCTGCTGAACTTCTGTGGTACAAGTCGTATTCTCATCTCTTCAGGACTGATGGGGCTATTTACTCTGAACTCCAAAGCCTATTTGTAGTTAAGGCAACTGTGCCAGAGTAGCTTCTGACTTGTGCTTAGATACCCGCCTTTCTTGATACAGAAGAGAGCATGGCCATCCAAGGAGGCTGCAAAAGCCATCTGTGTTAATGCAGCTATTCTTAATACACAGAATATATTCATGATCCATCACTAGAGTATTAATTTAAATTTGTTATTATCGATGTATTATTATTATTGTTATTGATGTTCACTGCACTTTTGATAGAATTTCTAATGTTTTAATAGCTCTGTTTTAAAAAAAAGAATAAATGTCAGCATTAATGGGAAGTAGTGGTTCCTGAGAGGGAAGTAAGGGGCTTGCAAATAGAGGCAAAAACTTACTACTGTGTTCATAGCTATTTTTAGGTCTGTGCACAAGGAATTGTATGGAACACTTCCAGTAATACTTCAAATACTAAGAGCCTCTGAAGCCTTGGATGTGGGAAGACTCTGGAAAATATTTTAAAGACCCTTTCGCTTACATCAATTCACCATTCTCTGGGTGTTTTGAGATGTGGGGGCCTGGGGGATATTTGTAATAGGACACGAGTCATTCCCCTATGAACTAACTATGTGGGTTTTTTC